TAATCTCTACCAAAAAAAGCATGAATAGATGGGACCACTTATCCAAAGAGCTGTTCTTGTTGCTGAGGACTCCTCTCTGAACACATTCACCTGTAATTCTGTCAAGGTAATAAATCCTTCCACTCCTTAGAGCACACTCAAAAGCACCCTGCTATTTAATGTCAATGGAAAAATGACCCAAAGTGTCTAAAACATTTCCTTTTGCTCATGTGAAAGTGCTGGCATTTTACTTCCTTCCTGATAAGCCAGTGCCAATGGACCTGATTGTTCTTTTCTTATTCAAAGCACATCAGTAGTTCCAAAGCACTCTCCATCTTATCAGGTGTCTGAACAGCACAGTTACTGAAAACAGTTTGTCCTGCTCCTCTCTCCTTCTGCCAGGCTATCAGATAAACCCAACTAACTCTCTGTCTTTACACACCATCAAACATAAGCTGTGTCTTCAACCCACTGTAGCCTGTTTCTGGCATGTTACAGTTTTGCTGCTTGACATTAGTTGTACCCAAAACAGCAGCAGTGAATTAGCTCAGAACAAAAATATAGTCACTCCATAGCACAGAACACAAAAGGGAGACAGGATAGGGAAAAGAAAGATAAGCATTTTGTGAAGTAAGAATGATCACTCTCATCTCAGTAGTTCACAGGTATTTATCTGGTGCTACTTGAAAAAGAGCCTGGAAGCAGCAGGATTCAAATCCATTAAAAACAGACCTGACACAGGCCTCATGAGTAGAAAAACAATTTCTTTTTTTTGTTTATTTTATTCTCCTGTCCTCTAGGAACTGTGCCTGATTTGCAAGGGGTGAGAAAGTGAAAGAAAGGAAAATGGTTACAGCGTCTGAAAGCGTTTAAATGCCTTTACAGTTTTTGTCTGTAACAAGACTGATTTTCATGATCCAACCTTCATTTGGCACTAAAAGATCCTCACAAAAACAAACCAAAAAAACACTCTCCCCCAAACAAGCCTCTTGGCAACTCTCCTTTTCATTCAGTGTCTCAGATACAGAATTTTCAGTGCTGACTACTGAGGAATAACACAAGATCAACTCCTTCAAAAGGGCCAGGGCTTTGAAGGTTTTGCTTCCTGCCCAGCCCTAGGGAATAGGCACAGCATCTCCCTTCCTTCTTCTCAGGATGACAGGATATCCTGGGATGAGCACAGTGTTGGAAGAGTTAAACATTAACCTGGCTGTGCCCTGGGCACTCTCAGCTGGCTAAATGGAAAGTTCTGTAATGCAGGGAGAAATCCTGAGTTGCAGCTCTGTGATTAAGTACAGCCTTCTTTAGAAGCTGAAGCTCCAGCCCCTGAGTGGAGGCTCCTTCCCACCACTTCTCCCACTGACAGTCCCCCTAAGCAATAAAATATCAAACATAAAAAGACAGTGGCATTCATCCTCCACAAAGACAGGACCAAATCCTGCAGCCAATTTGATGACAGAAAAAAAATTAAAAGGAAATAAAGAATACACAGAAAATTGCTTGATCCTTAATTACATTTCCAGTATATGGAGAACTACACAAACTGTCAGTAGCAGAGTGCTCAGAGTACACAAAGGAGTGTGATTTCACCATTTTGTTAAATATTGGTTTTACTAGATTTTTGTGTCTTGTATTTCTTTTAAAATATTCACGTGTGAGAGTGAAAAAAAGTGTTTCTTTCAAAACAGCTCTAGAAACCAACCCAAGAAATAGAGAGAAAGGGGTGAAAGAGTAGCAATAATATGTATAGGAATGGTCTGAATAAAGCAAGTCACCTCCTGCCCACCCATCCTGGCACCTGCTGGGAAGGAATTTTGGAAATGCTTAGGAACAAGCTAGCACTACATTTTAGATATGACTTTTTCATCTCTACATCTACAGGACTTTAAACTGTTTCATGTCTGTAAGGGGGGTACTTTTGAATTAGATGATCAATGGAGCGTAGAGGCGTGAGAAAGGAATCATATTAGGATGTGAAACCAGCCAGAGTATGGTACAATGGAACTTCATGGCACAAGCGAATTGTGAGGTCCATTGTGCTTTTTAGCAAGTCAGCCTGATATCCCCTATTATCAGAGCTGAGTTCTTCCTTGGTTTTGCTACATATTGCAAGATAGATACATCTACCCTTGAAACACAGTGATAGAGGTCATACATAGGGGTGAGAAAGATGATGATGGGAGGCAGATTCTGTGGGCAGGGGTCGCTGGCCCCTTGCCCTACAGCAGGGCATGCACAGACTGTTGCTATCAGGTGATGAACAGGCAGGGTTTGGCTGCCACTCAGGCATCACCTTATACTGGGTACTGGCCCTACGTGGTGTAATGTAGAGCTGATAAAATGGGGTGTCAGGACTGCTGGGGTGAGCGATCCTCATCCTGCCATGGAGACTGTGTTGTTCCATGGGGACGCCCGCTAAGCACGGGCACCGACCAGCTGCTGCAGATCCTGGCAGCCCTGGCCTGTCTGTGTGGGTAAGCACAGCTTATTGACAGGAAGCAACTGAGAAAGCAAATGTTTTATATCCTTTTTTAATATCCTTGTAATTCCCTTTTTACTAGTTAATACTGTATTAAAAGCCACTCGTAGTATTGTTTTAATATCCTTTAAATGTTCCTTTAATTCCCTTTTTACTAGTTAATACTGTAATAAAAGCCGTTCATAGTATTGTATGAATACCAACTGATAAAGCAGTTATTTTGTATTCTTTTTTAGCTTTTGATTCTCTTTGCTAGTTTTTTATTCTCACTACAATAAAAGATGTTTTGTAGTGTTTGAATGTCTGTTGTACTTGTCTTTATTCCGGGCATGTATTCAAATGAACTAATACACAGGGGCACAGCTCTTTGGGGCAGGAGACGGGCAGCACCCTTGCCAGGACTCGGGGCGGTGGCAGGTCTCCTTGGGCCAGGACTTGCCAGAGCTGCTGATTTGGGTGCAGCCCTGGCCAAAGGGCTGCCAGCAGCATTGGTGCCCTTGCCCACACCTTCCTTCTCAGTGTCAGCCCCCCTGTTTAGGATGGTCACCAGCCAGCACTTCTCCCAAGGAGGCCGTGCCAGCTTGTGTGGAAGGCCCCGTGCCCTTCCTGCTGCGACTGAGTCGGCGGCCGAGGGGGCTCCTTGTGCTGCCGTGAGCAGGCACAGGAGGGGAGTGTTTGCTCATTTCTTGAGCTGTTCCTACAGTTCAGGTCCAGCCAGATTAGATACTTCAGAGAGCGGATTCCCTCCAAGGTGGGGCAGGTTGGCGGGGCTGGGGGAGGCCCCAGGCCATGTGGCACTGTGTCCCAGGGCCCTTTGTGACACGCTGGGCACAGCCAGTGGGATGGAAGGGGGCAGGGTGTCCAAGGGCCCTTTATGACCCGTGGTGACAGAGGTGCTACTGGTGACACGGCCACAGTGTCAACAGTGCTCCTCGGAGCAGGCGACGGGACAGGACGGGACAGAGCGGTGCTGTGCGGAGCCCCCGCGCAGCCAACTCGTGCCTTGCTGACCCGGAGCATTTTGGAGGATTTTCTCACTTTCAGGTGACCTCGAGGCATTTCCACAGGACTTGGAGACCCGGAGTTTCTCCGAGGTGTCTCTAATCCCTGTGGCAGGTGCCCTTGGGACCCTTTTGCAGGACTTGGAGACCCGGAGCTTCTCCGAGGTGTCTCCAATCCCTGTGGCAGGTGGCCTCAAGGCCATTCTGCAACTTAGGGCCCGGAGTTTCTCCGAGGTTCTCTTTCTCTCTTGCAGGTGCCCTGGACACCAGACTGTGGCATGGCAGGGAGACGCTTCAGCCTGCTCAGGTTGTTCCGGAGGAAGAAGGAGGAGGAAAGCCCTGGAGCTGCTCCAGCACAGCAGCCTGAAGAGGTGCAGCAGGTGCAGCCCCCGCAGGAGGGTGAGTGCTGGAGCTGGGCCACAGGGCTGGTGGCTGCAGCCCCCTTGGCCTCATCCTGTCCCATCCCGTCTGGACATGCCCAGGGAAAGGGAGGGGGCAGAGGGGCCGGGGCTGATCTCCTGGCAGCCGTGCTCCATCCACTGGGCATCCCGGGGCTGGCCCTGCCTGCTCCTGGAGCCCAGGCCTGGGCTGTGTTCTCCGGCCTCTCCCGCACACCCTCAGCTCTGAGCGCGCTCGCTCTTTGCCAGATGCAGCCCAGGAGCGGACAGAAGAGCAGCTCCGTGCCCGTGGCCGCTTCCGCAGGGCAGCACAGGTACCTGCAGCCATCCCCGCCTGGGCTGGGCCTGCTCTCACTGCTCAGCCCAGCACCGCTGTCGCGGCCCTCCAGGGGACATCCCTCTCTTCCCTGCCCTTCTTTCTCCTGCAGACATTTATGAAATTCATGGGCAGTCGGCGTAGAAAGTCCAGGGTCACACCAGCTGATGTCGAGGCCCAGCCTGACACCATCCCGACCCAGCTGACAAGGCCTGATGTCAGCACCGCGTCGACTGCTGTCCCAGCACAGTGTGACACCACAACCAGTGATCACACAACCCACTGGGACACCACGTCCACCGATGATGTGTCACACTGTGACTCTGTGCTGCCTGGTCTCACGGAGGAGGCCGACGCCACAACGACGGAGGGCGTGGCGAGCACTGACACCTCGCCTGTTCAGCGCCTGGTCGATACCCCCAGCCTGGACTTTCTTGAGGAGAGAGCTGTCTCTGCTGAAGTAAGCAGCCTGTGGCCCCCCAAGCTGGGTGCGCTGGGCCCCCTCAGCCTTTGAGGCTGGCACAGTGTGCTGGGAAGGGAAGCATTTCTCGGGGGAAGCTGGGCAAGTTGCTCACACTGGCAGCTCTCCACCTCTCCCCTGTGCATCCTCCAGGCCAGACTGTGGGACCTGGGGACCTGGGGCTGCCCAAGGCATCTCCAGTCCCTGGGGCAGCTGCCCTCGAGGCCAGACAGTGGGACTGGATGAGGCGAGGCATTTCCCAGGCTTCTCTCTTGCAGCTGCCTTGAAGGCAGGACTGCAGGACTTGAGGAGCCAAAGCTTTTCCATGGCATCTCTACTGCAGGTGTCCATAACACCAGATGGAGACATGCAGCAGAGACCTCCCACGGTGCCCAAGCTGGCCTGGGTGAAGGAGGAGGAGAAGGAGGAAAGCCCTGGGGCTGCTCCAACACAGCAGCCTGAAGAGGTGCAGCAGGTGCAGCCCCCGCAGGAGGGTGAGTGCTGGAGCTGGGCCACAGGGCTGGTGGCTGCAGCTCCCTTGGCCTCATCCTGTCCCATCCCATATGGACATGTCCAGGGAAAGGGAGGGGGGCAGAGGGGCCGGGGCTGATCTCCTGGCAACCGTGCTCCATCCACTGGGCATCCCGGGGCTGGCCCTGCCTGCTCCTGGAGCCCAGGCCTGGGCTGTGTTCTCCGGCCTCTCCCGCACACCCTCAGCTCTGAGCGCGCTCGCTCTTTGCCAGATGCAGGCCAGGAGCGGACAGAAGAGCAGCTCCGTGCCCGTGGCCGCTTCCGCAGGGCAGCACAGGTACCTGCAGCCATCCCCGCCTGGGCTGGGCCTGCTCTCACTGCTCAGCCCAGCACCGCTGTCCCAGCCCTCCAGGGGACATCCCTCTCTCTTCCTTGCCTTTCTCCTGTAGCTGGTTTGCAGATTCATCAGGGGCATTTGGCATGAAGAGGCCACTTTCATGGCCACTGGGGACACGGCAAACTCGGACCTCTTCCATGCCCAGACCAGCGCCTTTCCTGCTGGATTTGCTTGTGCAGAACGGTGTCTACAAAGCAAAGCAAGTAAGCAGCCTGTGGCCAGGGCTCCAGTCCCCCAGGGATGCTGTGGCCCCTCACGTTGGCTGCTCTGGGTCCCCTCAGCCTTTGAGACCAGCAGAGTGTGGTGGCAAGGGGAGCACTTCTTGGGGGAAGCTGGGCAAGTTACTGGCTCTGGCAGCTCTCCAACTGTCCCCCGTGTCCCCTCCAGGTGCCGGCCATAGTCAGGTGCATCCATCAGTGGCTCACGTCCAATGTGTCTGCTGAGCACAGGCTGGACAAGACTCTTGTCCTGCTGACCGAGGCACACCCCACGGATGTTGCAGTGACCCTGCTGCGCTCTGCCCCAGCCTGTGACAGGTATGGGGCCCACCTGCCTTGAGGGCTCACCTGCCTTTAGACCCCATCCCCCTGGACAGCCTGTCCCAAATGGTGTGCCAGAGACATGGAGACTTCCCGGACACTCCAGCTCCTCTCTTTGCCAGCTTTGGCATGTCAGCCTCCAATCCTGAGGCCAGCCTGCCTCCCTGCCCCACAAGGCACCGTGGCTCTGTCACCTGGGCCCCGCAGCTGCCCAGGCCACAGCGCTGTGTCCCAGACCCCCCTGAGCCAGAGTTGTGACTCCACAGAGCTGCTCGCACCATGTGGAAGACGCTCATCTCCTCCAGACGGACTAAGGAGCCGGTGCTGCAGATCCTCTTCCATGTGCTGGAATACTGGCCAGCGCACAGGAGACGCACCTCTGATGGGGATGAGAGGGATGTCTTTGCCCTGGCTGTGAGTTTCTTGAGCTGACCTCTGCTCGCCCCCAGGTTGCCTCTGGGATACCTTTCCATCCTCCCTCACCACTGCTTCTCCCTGCCCCAGGCACTGGGCTGCAAGCCTGGCTTAGGGGCAGGTTCAGGGGCAGCAGGCCGGGGGATCCCCCTGTGTCTCCTCTGGCCTGTCCCTGCCACGCTTGGGCCCTGCCACATGGACATCTGGGCCCTGAGAGCTGTCTCTGGGTGCTTTGTCTTTGGCAGGCAACTGTGGCACTCTGGGAGATCCTCCAGCTGTCCCACTCCTGGTGCCCAGGGGGAGTGAAGAACAATTCCCCCCGCCTCCTTCTGACTCTGCTCTTCCAAGTTTTCATCAGCACAGAGGAGATGTCAGAGGAGGTCGAGACCTTCTGGAGGCGATGCCGGGAGCAGCGCAGCCTTCCCCCCAACCCCAACAGGTGCTCCATCCCAGTCCCCTCTCCCTGCCACGCCCTCGGGGCTGGGGCCAGGGCTCTGTGCCTGACCTGGGGCTGTCTGTGCCTGACCTGGGCTGTGCTCTGCACACAGGTTTGCAGTGCAGACCGTTAAAGCCCTGCTGCGCCAGCTGCTGGATGAGGACGTGCTGATGGCGATCGGTCGCAAGTGTGGCTGGGACATGCTCCTCAAGGCTGACACCCACCACTATGCAGTGGGTCTGCTGGCCAGGTGAGAGCCCTTTCTCCCCACTGCCCCTGTCATTTCTGCCCTGTGCACAGGCCCCCCCACACAGTGCCCGTGTGCTGGGCCAGAGGGCCTTGGCAGCCAGGGATGGCTGAGCAGAGTGGAAAAGGCGGAGAGGGGCGGCTGCACAGGAGGACCCACCTCCCAAAGTGCCCACGTCCTCTCCTGGGCTGGTGGCCAAAGACCAGGCCTGTGTGAGTCAGTCCCAGGAGAGCTTTGCCCACCTGGCTCAGGGTCTCTGGCACCTTTATTCCCCCTTGCAGGGAGCTGTGCCGTTTCTCCCGCTCCTTCTGCCGCAGCATCGCCGTCAGCCTGCTCCCGCGGCTCAGCAGGGGAGAGCCCCTGTGGGAACTGCCTGCCCTGGCGTTCCTGGTGGAGGTGAGCCTGATGGCGAGCGCTGCCTGGCCCAGCTGCCTCCCCCTCTCTGCCCTCTCACAGCCGCAGCCGCCCGGGACGGTGCCTGCACCCTGTGCTGCTGCCTGGGCCCAGCCCCGGGCGGGTCTGGGCTCCTGCCGGCCGGGCACCCCGTCACTGCTCCCTGCCTTTCAGGTCCTGCACTGCCTGAACCCCAGACAATGTGGGCCCAGCGTCCTGCAGATCATTTCCAGGCACCTGCGCAGGCAGTGCCCGGAGAGGCGTCGCCTGGCGCTCCGAGGCCTGCTGGTGCTCAGCAAGGCTCCCGCAATGGTGAGCAGGGGGCAGGGGCTGAAGCCGGGCCGGCAGCGTGAGGCTGTGCAAGGCAGTAGCTTGGCCTTGGCTGGCCTTTGGCAGCTGTGGCAGCTGCTCCCAGCTCTCCTCCTCCTTGTTCAGCTGCCCGACTCCTTTGGGACACACCTTTGGCCTCTGGGCCCCGCGGCAGCACCGTGGGGCTGCACCACAGCATTGTGTTCCACACAGGCTAAGAGCATCCGGAGCCTGAATGAAAGCCTCCTGGAGCTACTGCAGGATGCAGACAGTGATGTCGTTGAGATGACCCTCTCTGCGGTCATCAATGTGCTGGGCTTGAAAATCATCAAAATATCCACCCCTACTGCCCTGAAGTTCCTTGATGTGTTGCGGCCACTCTTTGACAACGTAAGGCTCTGTGCCCCTCATCGTGGGCACTGAGTGCTGCCAGGAAACTTTGGGCCCAGTGTCTTTTCAGGCCTGTGCCCCGGTGGGCCTGGAGAAGCCAGTGCTGAGGTCTTTTCCTCTTCCTTTACACCAGGAGCACAGCCAGCTGCAGCAGCTCTCCATGCTCCTCTTCCGGGAGCTGATGGAGGCGACAGAGAGGAGCAAGAGCCTAAAGCCACACGTGTACCTGAGTCTGGTGCCATTCTACTTCAACTGGCACGATGACAAACAGCGTGTGGCAGAGGTGAGGACTCGTGGGCTCTGGTGTCCCCATGGTTGGAGGCTGCTGTGCCTCCTGCCCTGGCCCATGGTCGCCTGCAGCCTCCTCCTGGCCTTGGCGCAAGGATGTGGGTGCTGTGCCCTGGGCTGCGGTGCCATGGCCCGCTCTCTGTTGCTGTGCAGGCCTCTCGGAGAGCACTGTTTGGTGCAGCCAAGTTCCTGCAGTGGAGGGCTCTTGAGCAGTTGGTGACCATGGAGCAGCCGTGGAGGTTTCCCGAGTGCCTGGTAAGGACGGCCCCAAAGCCCCAGCCCCTGGCTCCCCTGGAGCACCCAGCCCTCTGCTCCCCCCAAACCCGGCCCCAGCGGCTGCTGGCCAGGCCTCAGGGCTCTGCGGGCAGGGGAGCCCCGTGCTGGGGGCAGGGAGCGCCCGGCCAAGGGGCAGAGCCTGAGCCGAGCCTTCCCTCCATGCCCTGGCGCTCTTTGCAGCTGGAAAAGGACAGGAGCCGAGTGGGCCAGTACGTGCGCCAGGCCCTGCCGTTCCTGGAGAGCCCAGAGGAGCCCCTGCGAAAGCTGGCCATCAAGTTCCTGGGTGAGCCACAAGGCCGGGGTCCCTCCCCGCCCCGCTGCAGCTCGGCCCCAGCCCCGGCTGCTGCAGCGGCAGCAGGATGCGGCCCAGGGCATGTGGAGCCCCGAGTGGCCTGGTGCCTGCTGCCGCCCTGTGCCAGCCCAGCCCTGGGGCGTCCCCATGCGGGAAGGCCCCGGGCTCAGCCCTGCCAGGGCAGGAGGCCGTGTGGCCGGGCTGGCAGCGCCGCTGCGGGGGACCTGTGCCTCTGGGGCCTGACAGGCTCTGTGTTCCCAGGGATCGCCGCCAGGTCCATGAAGCAGGAGCAGCCAGAGCTGCAGCTCATCTGCCAGGGTGAGCGAGGGCACCTTCCAGCTGATCCCCTTGGGCCCTGCTCCCTCCTGGCCATGGCAAGAGCTGGCTGGGATGGCCCTGGCAGGAGGGGCTCCTCGCGTCCCCACACCCCTGGCCTCTCACCTTGGCTCTCTTCCTTTCTCTTTCAGCCCTTCAAGGCATCACTGATGACAGCCCTGCTGTCTCAGACCTGGCCCTTCAAACGCTTCACATCATCAGAGCTGTACGGAGAACTTCATTCTTCCCATTCTGGTAGTCTCCGTTGCTGCCTCTTCCAGCCCGTAGAGGTGTGACAGAGGACATCAAACTCGCCATGGCAGGCCTGGCAATTCAACACTGCTACGTGCTGAGAGCTGTACAGATGGCTCCCCACTGCAGATTCCAGCAGCTCCAAGACTGGCTGTGCAGGGCATGGAAGACCCGGCCTTTTCCACAGGGCAGTGTCTGCCTGTGCTGCTGCAGCTCTGTGGGGAACTGATGCAGGAAGCTCCATCTCCTGGGGCCACCTGAGCCTGTGGGGAAGATGCCTCTTCCCTGCAAGCACCTCCTTTGAGCCCAGCATGGGAACATGACCAACATGTTATCACGCGCAGAGGCCCAGGAGCTTTTTTTATGTGCCCAGTGTGCACAGGGCCTTGGGGAAGAGGGGAAAAGGGCTCCCCGTGCTCAGCAACACTTGCCCCGCTGTGCAGCGTGCCAGCAAAAGACCAGCAGGGGAGGGGGCGCTGGGAGGCCAGGAAGGGGTGAGGTGCTGTGGAGGCCCTGATGGGACAAGGGAGCAGGAAGCCTTGAGGGGAATCTGTGAGGGGGTGGGTGGCAGAAGGCTGTGATGGGACATACTGGGAGCAGGCCCCGAGGGGCAGGGTGGAGGGAAAAGCCCCCAGGACTTGGGGGGCAGAGGCCATAAGCAGCCCCCAGGCAGCCACCTCCTTCCCTGCCAGCCGGCTGCTCTGGTGCTTTCCCGAGGCATTCCCAGCCCTGTGGCAGAAGCCCTGGAGGCCAGGCCTCAGCAGCAGGGTGGGCACACCCCCAAGGGGGCCAGGCTGGCCTGGCTGGGGACAAGGAGGGCAAGGGGTCCCTGCCAGGGCACGTCTGCCGGGTGATGCCAGCGAGGGGCAGTGGCACAGGCAGGGCTGGTGGCCAGCCCGGGCCCCCGCGGCTGCCCAGGCCAAGGGGCTGTGGCCAACACCCCCCTGAGCCAGAGCTCTGGGCCCACAGAGCTGCTGCCACCACGGGCAGGGCGCTGGGCTCCTCGGGCAGGCCTGTGCACTCGCTGCTGCCCAAGCCGCTCCACCCCACAGACAACAGCACCAGAGGCTGCCCAGGAGCAGCAGCACCCACAACGCCTGGGCCTCCTCACCCAGGCACCCACACCCGCCAGGACACCAAAAATGGGCAGACTGTGGGCACAATTGCACCCACTTTGGCAAAAGGCTTCAGGGCAAGTGGCCACCACAGCTTTCCAGTGACTCCCCAGCCTCACAGCAACCCTTGGCAGCTCCAGCTGCAGCCTGACATCTGACTGACTTCAGTGGCCCTGCTTGAGGCTGGACACACCTTCCACACTCAGGTGTCCCCAGCCAGTGCCACTGGTGCTATCCTCAGAGACTCTGCTGGGACACCAGCCTCGGGCTGCAGCTGCTCAACCTCTCCTCCACGCAGGCACCTTCAAAACACGGGCATGGGCTTCTAAACTCTACGTCCAGCACCTGAGGGCAACAAGGGGCACAGCTCTTTGGGGCAGGAGACGGGCAGCAGCCTTGCCAGGACTTGGGGCAGTGGCAGGTCTCCTTTGGCCAGGACTTACCAGGCTGTCCCTCAAGAATCCCGGGAGCAGGCAGGGAATGCTGAGCAGAGCAAGCCCTGCCCAGATGTCCCATCAGGAAGACACTGTTCTAGGGGGAATTCACTGGGTCTACTAACTCTTACTGACTGGCTTAATGACTCAGCCATGGTGTGTCCCTGTCACTCAGATGCCTTCTTGGCCCCACCTGACGTGATTCATGTGACTGACAATACCTTTAACATCCCTGTAAGTGATCCTTGTTATTTTAGTTGTATCACAGATCAAAATGTATCTACCCTCCATTTATCATTAATAATTCCCATGGGCAGAAGAGCCAAACTGTGGCTCCCAGGGAAGCAGAAGCTGGGAGGATGAGGCAGGATACAGTGAATGAAGGAAACTGTGAAATGCAGAAATCCTCAGTGGGTGGCTGATTGCTTGGATCATCTCTGCAGCAATCCCGGCAGCTGCCGCAGCCACGGCTCCTGCTGCACTGGCCATTCAGTGCAGGCCATGCCTGCAGGGCCAGTGTGTGGGCACTGTGGCAGCATCAGGAGCAGGGGTTCAGAATCTGCCTGGTTTCAATATTCCAAGTCCTCTGGAAGTACATGGGACAAGCCCCAAGACAAGGAGCCCGGGTCCTGGCCCTCTTGGCCGTGAACTCTGCGTGTCCAAACAAAACAGGGGCAGAGGTGGGACCAAGCGGAGTCACTCTGCACCTGCCCTGAGTTCATGGGAATGCAAAGGGAGGATGGACCTTGGCTGAGTGCTTGGAGAGAGAGAAGGTTGTTTCTCCAAGTGCAAATGCTCTTTAACCAGCCTGCACGACCAGCCTGTGTTTTTCTCTGGTGGCTGAACACAGGCAGCACATGAGGAGAGGGGAATGTGTGGGATCAGGGCACTGCTTTGGGGCCATGCTGGGAATTCTGGTGGACTAAAAGACATACACTGAGTGCTGCTCATGAGAGAAGAGGAATAAAAGGGGACAGGGAAAAATGTCGGCGGACAAGTCCCGCAATGGAACTCTGTGTGTGCAGCCTCATTTTCTCCCTCAGCATCCACAAGAGAGGAGGCAAAAAGTAGTGTTTGGGACCCCAAAACTTTCTTGGGGGGGGGAACTGGGGATTGAGGGAACAATGGGAAAGTGGGAGGAACAGGGAGAAGGGTAGAAAAGGGGGGATTGTCTGGTAGGTCCGATGGCCCCATGGGGGTCTTTGGGCACAGGAGGGGTTGGAAAAGAGGGGGTGCCCCCCCTGAGCTCCCAACTTACTGTGAGGTGCTGGGGGCTGCTGAATCCAATCTCAGAGTTGGATTATGCCAACAGTTTCAGTTTAGAGGAATTACAGAGGTGTGACTGAACCACTTTTGTCCCCCAGTTTTTAACGATGGCAAATCAGATCTATTGATAAAAAGGAATTTATTTAGGGTTCCAAATGATCAAACAAAGGATCTTCATCAGAATTATTTACTGCACAATACAAACACTAAAACTACCAGGAGTACAGGATAAGATAAGACAGTGTTCTACCCTAAAGAAATTGTTGAAGAAATTCTACTAAAGTTGGCTTAAAAGCAATAGTTCTTAATTTGAGATGGATGTAACTCCCCCTCCAGCAGTGACCTTGGTGGGGCCCCAGCCAAGGCAGGAAACTCCACACACCCTCAAGAAGGGTTCTGTTGGAAGAACCTGCCCCTGTGAAAGGGGTTGAAAGGGATGGACTGACAGTCACTGGACTCCAGGGGTTGCCTCAAAATCAGGGGGTTTATTCAGGGTGGAAGCAGCGGCTGAAGCTCTTCCCACAGTCGGGGCACTTGTAGGGCTTCCCTTACTGGTGGGTCTGTTGGTGTCTGTTCAAAGTTGAGCTGTG